TTAGTTTAAATGAGCCGCGGCTCGCTCGCGCCTCGGGGATAAATCGACGAAATCATACACCTCGGTACATTCAATTACCAAACCAGTCCGAGATCCTCCTCCGGCTTTGCCCTTCGCGATACGCGTGGCTTTTCATGCTGGCGACCTTACCAAATCATTCTTCTTTTTCGTCGGTGGAATAATAACCTCTTTTCGACTGCACTTTTACGTTCCGATTATAGAAGGCTATTCCTACGTCGTGATTATCCGAACCGCACCGAAGTGAAACGAAGCTACCCGATTTATCACTAACCGTCTTGTCGCGAATTTTATGCTCGATTGACTTTACGCGGCGTATATTCTTTACTTGTTAGATGACAGTGAAAAATGATTTAGATGACGTACTTACACAACATTGCTGTTATTCGACTGGAATCCCTCTGTTGGACGGTTAGTTATTCACATTAATTTCTCGGACACAGTATTCCTTGGTTACTTTGCATAAAAGCAGTTTTATTAACGAGGTGATTAACGACTCAACTATATGTTGATATGTTTACTTAACTTTATCAAGAATCTGTATATTTAGATATATACATTAACAATAAAAATATGAATATTATTATACTGTTCAGGTCATGGTACTCTAGCACGAATTCTTATACATACGTCCCGTATACCGATTTTGCGTCGACTGTCAATCTGTGTCCGAATATCTCCGGACATTACCGACCTTTCCCGAAGCTAATCGTACACTCTGCAATCTTATACAAAAGTTAATTCAGATGCCATTTAGAATTTCACAAGTTTATTTTTTTACTTTACAATTACTATTTTAATTCCACAAAATTTATTATTGTTTATTTTTGTCTTCTATACTGATCTAATATTTTTTGTTTAAAATTATATTTAGAAATTTATCTCAATCATGAAACTCACATTTCTTAATGAAGGATATATTACTACAATGCAACCCGTATAATCGATTCGTCTGTTTTATAACCTAACGATCTTCGTTACGATGAGCAACAAGATTTATAGTGACACTTTGTGCTTTTATTCCCAGCTCATTTTATTACATTGTTAATTCCCGCATACACTCGTGCAACCAAAAGGTACAGTGTAAAGAACGCAACTGGAATTCAACTGCATTTAACGTATCCTGTATCATTCTTAAATAGTATCATTCAGTTGAAATAAATGATCCTTAATTCCTGGTTGGTTGTTGAAATGAATTGTCGAATTCCCGTTAAACCAGTCGTCGATTTTGAGGTAATTTATTGTTGCAAAATGGATGCTTCAATTATTGTATTGCTGTGTGAAACACATAATTACAGTCATCATATTTTATAATTGAATATGCTTCTTAAAATTACATTGGTAAGATAAATGATGTGCTAGTTCTAATTACATGGCAGTGAAATATATGAAAAATAAAGTAGATAAGTACTTTTTAATAAAGTAGATAATTGTAACTCATTAATATTAGTAGATAATTCCACTTATATATAATATTACTAGTAGATATTTTATATACAATATTATTTACATTCAATATTAATAATAGATAATTTAGTAGATAATACTACTTATACAATATCACCTTCTAGCTCACTACCCAAATAAATTTCAAATTTAATAACATGTACCACTCTACATTTCCAACAAAGCATAAACTACACCAAAAACCAACATCTGCATGGTGAAATTTGATTAACAAAAATAAATACGGCAACGTGTTACACGAATCTGGTGTAAGCAAAATGTGGAGCGTTATTCAGATGGAAAGAAAAAAAGAAGAAACGATCGACGAATGGTTCACAGGAATTTCATAACGGTGAAGCATAAATGCTTAAAGTTTTAATGGGCACAGTCGAACGACCGTTGCATCCTCCAATCTTTTACGGTCCTGCACAGAGATTTAAAAGGGCGGGCTCCTTCTGCTCGACCGTTCAGGAAGTATCCCGAAGAACAGCTGATCTTTTAGTTAATGGCCCCTCTGCATTCCTTTTTATTAAGAACCTGCAATTCTTGACTTCGAATCTTCGAACACGCCGGAGAAAATTCTGCTGCGCTCTGCTTCACTTTTTTCTAACCTTAGAAATGTAGTTACATTAATATTTGCACGCGGTACTATTCCTGCTTTTTGCATAAAAAGAGTGTTAATGAGGTAGTTGGGGAAACATTAACTATACCAACAATATATTTCAGCATATATTAACTATAAAGGTGTACTTTTATTTCGGTACGTCCCGTATGCCGATCTCGTGTCGACTGTCGATTCCTGTCCGAACATCTCCGGACACTGCCGACCCTTTCCGAAGCTATCATACACTTCGCGACCCTATACTTCACGAAGTTAATTTGAATATACATCATTTAGAACTTCACAAGTCTTTCTTTTTACTTTTATCCAATCATTTATAATTTGAGATGTTAACTAATCTGTTTATATACGTATGTCCTTTCCGTAATAACCTCTATTATCTTTTTCGACTGAATTTTTACAATTCGGTCGTAGAAGTTCATTTTCATGTCGGACATATTGCGTAATTATCCGAACAGCGCCGTAAAGGAACGAAGTTATCCGAAGTTATGTACGAAGGGTAAAAAGATTGTAGTGCTACTTATCTTCAGAAGTTTATTGTAAACGTAGAAAGAATATCAGTGTTGAAACTGTGCATAAATAATTTATTTCCCTTATTATTTATATATTATTGAATTGTTTAAGTAGCATTAAATAATTAAACTGATTATTTATTTAATTAAAATTAGAGTTTCATTCATACGCGTTCGAGTCTATTACATAACCTAATCAATAGTAACACAAATTAGAATTAAGTTACCCTAATTGCAATTAAATACAATAATTAAACCGACTATTTATTTTCCAAAATTATACTTCCCAATTTTGTTAATCAGGAATAATTATATCCAACAGTTGAAAAGTATATATAATTATAAATATAATTAATCAAAAATATACTTTCACTGACGCTTGATCGACTGTGTTATTTCAGCATCGAATAATGCTGCAGGAAAGATGATGACCGATCGGGAATATCGTTTGTGAGGTACTTAATATCAGAGTAATTAAAGAAAGATGAGGAGTGAAAGGGTTTCGATGCAATTCACAGAGTGAAATTACATCCTCGTTATCCATTTACAATTGAACGTTCGAAGGTGTAATCGTCGGAGTGTAAAAATGGTAACCGCTTCAGGGTTAAACGAGGGGTGTAAGAAAAGAGCTGGTACTTCCGTCTGCACTTGGGCCGTTCAAAGGATCCGCAGACTGTGAATGAAGTCGTAAAAGTCACAGCTCGTTTTCTTCAATGAAGTCGTGTAGAATTGCAAAGATCGACTTGCCACGGTCATTTAGTAAGTGCGTAGACAGGTCTTGTATAGCTTGCGTTGTGACGTTCCCCCTTTGTGTATGCGTATTAGGTTGATCAAAGGTTCTATCATTTTACAAGGAGATATTTTAAAATCTGAAAATTTTTAGGTTACTGAATTTTGTGTATTTTTAGATTGCTAAATTTTTTAATTTTTTATTTTCTAAATTTCTAATTTTGTAGATTTCTAAATTTCTAATTTTATGGATTTCTAAATTTTTCAATTTTTGATTTAGTGGATTTCTAAATTTTTCAATTTCTAATTTTGGAAATTTCCAAATTTCCAATTTCTAATTTCCCAAATTTCCAAATTCTTAAATTTTCAAATTCCTAAATTTCCAAATTCCTAAATTTCCAAATTCCTAAATTTCCAAATTCCTAAATTTCCAAATTCCTAAATTTCCAAATTCCTAAATTTTCAAATTTCTAAATTTCCAAATTCCTAAATTTCCAAATTCTTAAATTTCCAAGTTTCTAAATACCCAAATTTCCATATTCCCAAATTCTCAAATTCTGAAATTCCCAAATTTCCAAATTTCCAAATTTCCAAATTTCCAAATTCCCAAATTCCCAAATTTCCAAATTCCCAAATTTCTAAATTCCTAAATATCCATAACCTCAAATTTGTAAACTCACAAATTGACAAATCTTCCAATTTTCAAATTCTTAAATCCTGCACTTCTAAAATAAGTTCTAAATCGATAGTAAAATTTAAAAAACCAATATGGCGGTGGCAGCAGTAAAGGCTGCGTGCGCATGCGCAAACCTAGTACCGTTATGTTGCAAACATTAAAGCGCATAAAATTTAATACTAGTTAATTGCCATTAAAAATTGTAAGCAACACGAATTTATTTTTGTGTGAAGCAGTATATTTTAATCGCCTAACATCCTAACGTTACCCACCACATTCTAATCTCAAAGTATTATCACTTCACTTATTTTATTTTCCCTCCATTTCCTTTCTGCACCAGACGCGCATTTGTGAGTCCATCGACCATAAACCATAAATCTATTACCATAAACGTGTCTCCACAGTTCATAGTTCCAGTTCGCGCCGCGAAACATCCGCAGTAACAAAATCATCTCGACGAAGATGTAACGCGTTAAAATTCTCATTTCGAGCGATTAATTTGTCGAGCGGTTGAAGGCAAAGAGCAACCGGGAGCTTTCCCCGGAAGATACGTTCGCGATAAGCCGTGGAAAGAAGGCAGACGGACAAAGAGGTTATTAATGTTGTTTCCATGAGACCGAGAGAGATAGAAGACGAGAGAACGATTACGTAGCCAACTGCACGCATGCGCTTTCAGGTTGCACCTGACCATTCAGTTCTTCTTTTCCAGGCACGAGCATATATCCGTGCCGTTTCGATCGAGGGTTCGTTAATGAGACGCTACCACTTGCTGCCTCGATTTCTAATGAGTGGTTTTCCTGCACCGTTTCAGGGCCAACAGATTGCGATCTGCCGTATATATACGTCGACCTAGATGCATATGTCCCCGTGACCACGTGCCTCTTCGTACAACACTTAACCTAACCCTCGGAAAAATTGCGTCGTCCTCATCTAACGTTCGATTTTTTTTTTTATGGTTATTTATGACACCCTGCTGACGATTATCGGTGTGAAATGTTGGACTTCGGACCAGGGTGTGATTATGCGAATATTAATGATTTAAGTGGATGTTGAAATGGTTTTTTTATGCGTAAGGCGATAGATTGTGGTGAATGTGAACTTTGGAACATGTGATGTGTGTGGAAGAAGAAGGTTAGAAGGATAATTGGATTTTGGGAGATTGGAATGGTTGTTGATATTTTCTTCATAAATGAGAAGATGGAAATTTAGAGTATTGTAGTTTTGCAGTTAGATTTATAGATTTAAGCTGTTAGACTTTTATAGTTATGTTTATAAATTTAAATCTAAACATAATAATGAGTTAGATTTTTATAATTATTAGGTTTATACATTGATTTAGATTATCAAGTTTTTGTAATTATTGGGTTTGCAGATTTAGATTATTAAATTTTGTAAATTATCACATTTGCAGATTTTGGTTATTCAATTTTTTAAAGTATGAGGTTTACAAATTTAGAACAGTAAACTTTTAAACTTAATTGAGAAATCTTGAAATAATATCCAAGTTTTTAATTCATCAACTGTCAAGCTTAGAAACTTGCAACTATTAAAGACTGCTTTTCGATGGATAAATTTGTTGCGTTACAAGTTCTTAAAATAATAAATTTAGAACTATAGAACATTTTTATAGAACATTTTATAGAA